CCAAACCTTATCATTATGAGCTATGTTATGCCAATTGATGGAGTTGTCCTTCGAAACTATGGTCCCAGGCCTTCGAACCCAGTAAGCCAATCCTCAAGGTGTTTGGTTATGTCTAGGAAGTATCTGTAGCTGTGCCCTCTGTGTGGTTTATTATATATGTGAATATATATGCAGCTCACACAAACATGTATATACATACACCTAAGAGAGACACCTATACATGCACACCCATACACTCACATGTGTCTACTTATAACAGTAGAATTTTATAGCTAATAAGAACTGCAGAAATAATTTTGTAATCCCTTGTTTATAGGTGAGATAATAATTTCCTGGTCACACATGTAGCTATTGGCAGAGCCAGGATAAGAACTAAGATCACAATCAGCTCACCTCTGTTTTTTGCTACATCATTTTCTCTCCTCTCCTGTTGCACCACATCAGTCTCTAAATCCCCAGTTATTTTGATTTCTGCTGTATAAATTGACTTCAATTTCAATTCCATTCCATTTTCAACTTGACAACTTTCTGGCTCTGAATTACTCTATTTAAAACTGCATCATTGCTACTGAGAAAAATATAATAAATTCTGATTCTGGAGGATTCAATTCCAAGAGAGAGAAATGGTAGAAATTCCCAGAACTACCAGGATACTTTTACTTCATCCATACCAAAAACAAAAACCCAAACCCATTGCCTTTTAGTAGATTCCAATTCATAGAGACCCTATAGGACAGAGTAGAACGGCACCATAGCGTTTCCAACAAGTGGCTGATGGATTCGATCTGCTGAACCTTTGGTTGCAGCCAAGCTCGTAACCAGAACTACGCTTTGTTTATTAGTTTTTCTTTGGGTAATTCAATATTTTAATTCCTAAAGTGATGAGAAAAATAGAAACACTTAACTTCTCTTTTGTATTTAGATCACTATCAAAGAGAATGATGTTCATGCTGGGGAAATGGGAGAACAATGTTTGAATGGAATTAAATGCCAAGAAAGGTAAGGAGAAAAGAGAGCATAGCTAGCTGCTTCAATGACTTTAAGTTTCCAGACCTGATGAATACATCCTCAGGCACTGGCCAAACTTGTGGAAAATAAATGTATTAGTAATATTTGAGAACTTGAGGGGGGGAAAAAAAAGGAAAAATGGGCCTCATAAGGAGATGGGGAAGATAAATTCCTAAAGTTGAGATTAATGAACTTGACATCGATAATCATTTACACAAGTACAGAAAAATATAAAGAAGAAAACAGTAATGAAAAAAATTGCTATCCCATTATACAGAGACAATTACGGTTAAAGTACGGATTTTTTTCTATATATGTATGTATACACATACATATGCCTACATGATTTTTTGTATTAAAAATAAGATTTCCATTAAAAATAATATGGTACACTAAATATGGAAAATTGAGATAATATTTTAGAAAAGTTTTATATTTGGCTGCTTTTTAAAAATGTATTAAATGGTAAAAAATTGTATTATTAGTTATTCTTTTGGAAACATGATTTATAATGGCTGCATAATATTCTGTAATATATTTAAACATTTTCTAAGTACTGGACAGTTAGGTAGAATGTATTGTCAGAAAAATGTTATTATTTAGAAATAAAAGCAATGAAAGTCAGCATGCATTCACCAATAAGTCATGCCAAACCCACCAAAATTTTAAAATAGGATTACTAGGTGATAAGACCATTTAATAGCAGATGGCATATATTGATTTCAGTAAAGGCTTTGGGGGCCAAATTTCAATATTCAGGCTAGATAACTTTGATATTCAGGCAAGGTACTTGAGTGCCTAATATCTTTCAGGTAATCGGCTCTGATAAAATATGAAAAGTCATAATCTCAGTTTTTAAGGGGCTTTTCATCTATAGAGGAGACAGAGTAAGCCAATAATTATAGTTTGTAGGGTTATGGCTATAACAAGTTTATATCCACAATGTGATGGATGTAGAGAGGTGAGGAGTCATGATTAGGACTCTACCCAAGGGGAAATCCATTAATGGTGTCAGTAATGGGGGTTATTACACATTCTAAGCCTGAAGAGTTAGTGGCTAAGCACTGTAGATGCGTAAAGTTTGGGGGAGGGATGACTACGGACAAAAAAGCTGGCATACTAAGCGCCTTTATTTAGGTTGTATTCTATATAAGTAGAGGATATAGCAGATCAGGATAAATGGCAATTCATGCATGAAAGACGTGGGGTTTCAGCTAAGTCTTTACTAGAAGTAAAGAATCCAGATCAAAGGACATATGGACTAGCCACACTACTTCTAGAGTATTGTATTTAATCCTTGAAAAGCTGAAGCATTTCAAAGTAGAGAAAATAGTGTAGTGAAGGGTCTAAAAGCAACGTCTTCGAAAAAACCAACAACAATACAAGGACTCCTTTGTGTTTGTACAGCCCTGTCATATGTGTTATCTTATTTGATCTTCATATGAAAATTAAAGAATGGGGTGGGTACATTTCGCCTAGAAAAGAGAAAGCTTAAGGGAACGTTATAATTGTCTTCAAATATTGGAAAGGCAGCAGCTATGTGAAAGGAGGATTATATTTGTTCTGTGTTGCTAAGGATGGCAAAGCTAGGGCTGACAGGTAAATGTTATAGTGAAGTGGTGATGGAAGCATCATATATTTGCAAAAATGGCATTTAAAGTTTCAGGACTGACTGGTGGATTATCTTTAACTTAAGAGGCCCTTGGGAAAGATGCTTTTAAATTTAATAGACAAAATTCAAATTTGAGTTCATAAAAATGAAACAAAAATATCAGTAGATCATCCCAGTAGACTAAACCATACCACTTAAGAACAATATAATATCATCTTAACACTTAGTACATGCCAAGAATATATAAAGTAAGATATTGAACATAAAGATCTCCAGTGTATTGAGTCCACCTTTCCCTCACAAAATGTAACACTTACAGTATCTGCTTCTTTTCCATCAATCATCCTCAGATCATCCAAAGACCACTTTTTTGTTACTTCATATTTTTCATCTAAACCTATCCTGTAGTGTTTCACCATAATTATTTTTACTTCTTCATTTTTGGTCACTGTAGGAGAGGAAAAAAAAATTAGTTTACGTAAACTCTTAGAAGATAGTGAATTATTCATCAAGTCACACTGTTCAGTATTTATGTGTCCCCTTTTCATATAATGACCTTGAACCCACTCATATAATGACCTTGACCATTATATCTGCACTTCAATTCTCAATCCTGATGCATCTGAACCTTCACACAGTATGCCACCAAGTTTGATCAACACAGTAAGTTTAATTTTTGCTACAGTTGTGATTCCATATTGCCACAGTAATGACTGTCAGCTAGAACACAGAGCTATGTGCATAGAGCTTTATGGTAAAGAACTGGGTTCAACTTGTGACAGGAAGTAAGAGGTAATTTAGTGTTCACATACGATTAGTGCCAAAGTGTTTACCAGAACAAGTTGGAATTTTGCTTTATGACAATATAAGAAAGTGAGGTCAGGAAAGAAAACAGTTCTGCTCATATAGCAACAGTGGTTAAGAGTGACCAAGCAAATATTACAGTAACTGTGAATCCTTCCTTTTAAAGTCATTGTGAGACTTTTGATGTAGAAGTGCTTGCGTTGCAGCTAGTGTCAACCTCTGTGGTATTGTTTGAGATTTTTAATCCTCTCAGGTATGTCTCCCAAATTCTAGTACTCATAATGTGCCACTTGCACGAAAAGCTTTAGTATTACACTTTCAGAGAAGTGGAAAAATAACTGCTTATTTTATGTGAACAAAATAAGGGAAACAATTTCCTGGCCTTAAAATCATTTGTCTTTTGTCTTATGTAAACCCATCAGAAGAATCAACATTTGAGTTTAGAGCTCCTGAATTTGAAAATTAACAATGTGTTAATAAAGAAGCATTTACTGAGTATCCACTCGGCTGATACAAATATTACAGATGCCACAGGGGTACAAGTATGAGACATGGTCTCTGCGCTCTAGAAATTTATGTTATTTATTTATTTTTTGCTGGGGGAGGGAGAAAAGGCCAACACATACGAGTCACATATGATAGTATATTATTAATAGGTGGCATCAACCCAAAAAACCCCAAACTCGTTACCGCCGAGTAGATCCCGACTCATAGTGACCCTATAGGACTGAGTAGAACTGCCCCATAGGGTTTCCCAAGAGCGATTGATGGATTCGAACTGCCAAACTTTTGGTTAGCAGGTGTGGATTAAACATCTTAAATTGTTTTTCAAGATGAATAATGCCACTGAGAATTGCAAGCTGGTTCTGTCTTCTAAGAGAGAGGCCGGAATTTGTCTTTGGGGAAAACTCTCGGTTCTAGAAAATAGCACTTTGGCATGCCCTCCTAGTTATGTAGATATGATCATAGTGATAGGTAAGTGGTGTGGAGCAGACTATATGTTCAATAAGAGTCCCAGGAAGAGAGAGGATTGAAATAGTTAAGGAAGGAATTATGGAAGAAATAGAATTTGAGACTGGGCTTTATGATTGGTCCAGTTTGGAAAGGTGGAGTTGATACTGAAGGCATTTCTAGGTGAGGGACAGCATGAAGAAACAAAGAGACAATAGAAGCTACACTTCATCAGAATGAAAGAAAATGGATTGTATAGATTGGTTGGTGTTAGAATATGGTAGGCAATAGGATTAAGTAGATGGAGAAGGTTGTGAAGATATTTTGAAAGAAACCACTGTGAATTTATGAATCCCTTCCTCTGGCGGGAGGAGTGGGAGGCTGGACTCGGGGACAAGGGCTTCAGAACTGGGGCCAGTGAAGACAGTGGCTCTCAGATGAAGGTTCAGGTGATACCGAAATCAAGGGCTGAGCTCAAAGTTGATGATGGTGCTGAATTCAGTCCCTGAAGAAAAAGTCGGAGCAGATTGACACATCTAAGAGGGAGGGCACTGTGGCAGGTGTTTAGTGAAAGCTCATACAATAAAACATTTTCAACAAGTCTCATTTCTTGAGCAGGAGACTCATAAAATGGAGGCCTGTTAAAGTGGTATTTTTCTGGCACTAATGATACACACGATACATTGAAGGAGAAAAGAGGAACTAGAGGATCCAGGAAAAGGCAGTGTGTCTTAGTGTGCTCTGGCACCAGATGTTCTGGACTTAAAGCATGACACCACCACTTACTGAGCGGTCTGAATAAACTACTTAATCACTAGAGAGATTAAAGCTCAATTTTATCATGTTGTAAAGTGCACATCAGAGTGATACAAACTCACAGAGTGTAAGGATTAAACTAGATAAAGTATATAAAGGACTTAGTATAGTGCCTGGTTTATAACAAGTGGTAATGTGTTTTGTTCTGTTTAAGAGGCTGTTGTAGTAACCTAAGCATACCAGTTGCTGGTTGCCATTGAGTCAACCCTGGCTTGTGGTGACCCCATGTGTGTCGGAATAGAACTGTGCTCCATAGGGTTTTCGGTGGATGATTTTTTGGAAGTAGATCACCAGGTCTTTCTTCTAAGGTGCCTCCAGGTGGACTTAAACCTCCAACCTTCTCGTTAGCAGCCAAGTGTGTTAACTGTTTGCACCACCCAGAGACTCCTAACCTAGGCATAGGATGTGGGTAATATAAATAGAAGTGGCAAATCCATGACAGATTTCAAATGAGGCACTGATAACACTGGATGGACTGAATGGGATCCAGAAGGAAAAGTACAGAAAGTGAGCTGGATGGGTAGAAACATGAGTTGGTTGTTGACATACAGAATCTGAGTTATTTGCAAACAATCTGAGAAGAGAAAGAGAGGGAAGATTATAGTTTAGGACTGGAGATACAGGCTTGGGATTTTTGTGTGCAGCTAGATTTCCTAGACTGAGTTGATAGGGAAAAGGGCAGAGCAAGAGGATAGACAGAGTGGTGAAGAAAGCAGTGCCAGTAAAAAGGACTAAGAAGGGATCATCAGAAATGAGACGAGCCTGACAGTGCAATGTTATGAAAATCAAGAGGACAGAGAATTTCAAGAATTTGAGGACAATCTCATGAAATAACCTTGTTGGACAAAACAGAGTTCCTTTCTGTCACTGACTCTAGCTTGGAGAAGATACTGATTTTTTATGAAAGGATAGTTTCAGTAGAACGGAGACAGCAGAAGATAACCATGCAGAGGGCTCCTTCATGTATATAACAAATACATATTGAGTGCACGTTGTGTGCCAGTCACTGGGTTAAACAAACAAAAAAAAACCCAAACTCATTGCTGTCAAGTTGATTCCGACTCACAGTAACCCTATAGGACAGAGTAGAACTGCCTCATACAGTTCCCCAGGAGCTGCTGGTAGACTAGAACTGCTGACCTTTTGGTTAGCAGCCGAGCTCTTAACCACTATGCAACCAGGACTCCAGTTCCTGGATTAGGTAGGAGTAAAAAAGGTAATAGAAAGAGAGAGACTAAAGGCTACGATTTAGATGACAAAGTCCGAAAGTTTGGAGGAAGAAGGTTTGCACATTTTAGGGTTAGAGGGAATGATTGAGGGGGATGTCCAGGAGGGGACCTAGAGCAGATCTTAACCTGAGGTCAATGAATGGACTCAGACTCTGGGATCCTCCTAAAATTGTGTGCAAAAGTTGATGGGTTTCTCTCATGTACACTTCTCTATCCCTAAAAAAGGTCCATCTCCATTGATCTAGACAATGCCTTGGGAAGAGGGATTAGAAGTTATAAAGCTGGTATGTTGAAGTGGAGGCATAGTTGATTGTCATACTTATGAAGACAAGATCTTGGATTTAATTTCTCTAGAAGACAGTTGTATTTGCCTAGACAAAAGTTCTACCTCAGAACCCAAACATGATATTCTTCTTGTGGCTAACTATCTCACTGGCTACCTAAGAGAAATGGAAGCATAACTGGGTACTGTATAAAAATGTAATTTGAAGCAAAATCCACTGTCTGCTGGTGACTATATTAGCCTCATCTACATATTATGATAACCAGTTAATTGACTATAAAACCCACACGTTTATTTCATCAACTGGATAAATATTTATTGAGTGCCCTTTATGTATCAGCACTGTGCTAGGCATTGAAAAAAATGATACTCAAGACACCAGTTCTGCTCTCACTGAGATTACAGGGAGTAGGGGCTTCAGAAAGAAAATATTTGATCATAGTTCTGTGCACATGGAGGAGAGGCATCTTTATCTGACTGAGGGAGAGGGGTGCTTCCTGAATTAGGTAATCTGAGTTGTAAAGGGCTGTAGGAGTTAGGTCTCTAGGTGGTGCAAACAGTTTGCATTCAACTACTAATCTGAAGGTTGGTGGTTTGAACCCACCTGGTGGCACCAGTGTCATCATGAATCAACAGCAATGAGTTGGGTTTTGTTATTGTTGTTAGGAGTTAGCAGAATGAAGAAAGGGGTAAATGGAGTTCTGGAACAGCATGTATACAAAGGCATGATATACAGGACACTTTTGAGTTATTAAATTATTCTGTATTATTGACATGAAGGATGAGTGTGGACACATGGTAGGAAGTGAGGCAGGAACTATTCCTGAAGGGCCTGGAATACCAGGCTATGGAGATCAAACATTATCCTGAATGTTATGGGGGAGGGGTCACTGAAGAATTCTAAGTGAATGGACAGGCAAAGCCTCAAATTTTAGAAAGTTATTTTGGATAATTCCATAAGGATGCGTTGGGAGGTGGTGGGTGGGTAGGGGGAAATGGCAAAAAGAGATGTTAAGAAAGTAGGATCTACCAGTAATTAGGAGTTCTTGGGTGGTGCAATCCGTTAACGTGCTCATCTGCTAACTGAAAGGTTGGTAGTTTGAGTCCAGAGCAAGTTGTCTCAAGACCAAGACCTGGTGATCTACTTCTGAAAAGTCAGCCATTGAAAACTCTATGGAGCACAATTCTACTCTGACACACATGGGGTCGCCTTGAGTTGGAGCCGACTCGACAGCAACTGGTACTGGCACCAGTCATCATGTTTTCTTACATTAGGGGTCATTGTCCACTAACACCAAACTAAAAAGAAAAGTGTATGCTTTAAAAGCTAATCTTTTGATAAAATGATGCAGCATAGAGACAGTA